GAGCCGGGGGGGGGGGGCAGGCCCCTACTTTTTGGAAGAATATATATAGGCTTAGGACTAATGCCTGTAAATATAATGTAAATTTCTTTATATTCCCATTCATTTTAATAGTGAAAAAGTAACAAAAGATCGTGTAAATATCGCCGCGTAAGGTATCCGCCGCGTACGATCTTTGCGTGTATGCTGTAATCATGGCAGTAAATTGTGATTCTTACAGCATTTAACTCTGTTGGCCCGACGTCGGTATCAGTAATTAGTTAAACTAATTAACTAAATATTGAGTGAGTGATTGATTGAATAATTGATTGAATACGTGATTGCCAAGTAGGCCCTCTTTAGGCTAGACGCGCCTAGACGGTTGGAAGCGACGATCGAAGAAAAACGGTTAAGCAAGCCAAGGACTTCGCTAACTTCCATTCCTCAGTATTAAAATCCTTCCATTGATGGGCACTGTCTAAAACTTTCTTCCAGCTTATCTCTGAAAAGATTGTAACCTTTTCGTCTGCAGTTGGCTCAACATGAATTACACAGGAGCCAGTGAGCTAATTCCATGACGGCCTAGGTTCGGACATGACACGTTGTTGTTTGTTGTTATTTCGCGACGTCATCAACGAGTACAATACATTCATTATCCACCATCAACTAAACTGCCTTATAAAGAAAAAAAAATAAATTTGTTCGTGTGGGAATCGAACACACAACCTCCATGTTTGCTATTCATTATCCATCATCAACTAAACTGCCTTAAAAAAAATAAATTAAAAAAAAAACTGGCTCGTTTGGGAATCGAACCCACGACCTTAAAAAAAAAATAAAATAAAAAACTTGCTCCGTGTGGGAATGGAACCCACGACCACCGAGTTTACAACCCCTGATCCAGCATGACTAAACGGAGGGAGGTAAACCGCGGCCCCTAAACCATAAATGCGATAAACCTAGTACCACACCAAGTACCAGTTAGTCAACTCTAATCCTACTATAAAAAATTCTTTGTATATATACACTGACGGTTAATATTACGCATGGTCATGGTGTCAAAAATGGGCCGTGGGCCAAGAGGGTTTATTTTTTTGTCTAAAAATGTAGAATTAAATTTATAATCGATTTTTGATTGTTACCATCTCCATAACGTACGCACTTTTTTTTAAATAGACAAAAATGTTTGAAAAATTCATTATGCAAATTAGAAAAAAATAGACTAATGTTACGGGAAATCTGGTGGTTGTGTGTTCAATTCCCACACGAACCATTTTTTTTTTCTTTAAGGCAGTTTAGTTAATGGTGGATAATTAATAGCAAACCTGGAGGTTGTGTGTTCGATTCCCACCCTCACAAAATATTGTTTAAATAAATAAATATATTTTATATATGAAGAATCTATGAATATTCAGTTTTCCGTTTACTGGGGAAATGAACAACCAGATATTTGATTGGTGAACAGCCGAAATGGCAATTTAAAGCCAACGAAGTCGCTAGAGGTAATTTTTTTTTTTTTTTGATGCCATGGCCTTCAGACCTCTGACAATGGTGGCGGAAGGCTATACCAAAGCTTCGCATTTTTTTCGGGCATAATGCCTAGACAGGATTGTTCATTCATATTCATACAAAAAAAAATGTATATATTATTAAAGAATCTCTATTGAGATCCAGCGGGCCGCCACTGATGCACGGTAGAGATTGCATCTTTAGATCTCCGATCTTGTTCACAAATTCACGGACTAGTGCTGTCTCGTAAGAATTTCGTAGGACGCGTTAAGAATGACAAAATATTGTGGGCTATATTTGGCAGGTAATTTTAGAGCCAAAATCGGTCCGGCGGACCGATTTTGGTCCAGGACCAAATTTTTTCTGACAGGCCTATTCAAAATATGGCTATATACATATATACATTTCAAGTACAGTATTTTATCGACTGCAAAAGAGAACGCGGTTTTCCGATCAACATTGCTATGTACACTTTCAAAGGAGAGGGAGGGGTACCGCAACAGGGTACTGTCTGTACACACGCGAAAATTTTAATAATTGTGAACTACTCCTAAACAGCCTCGCAAGGGGAAGTCCCTTAACAATGCGTAATCTGTACGCTGCTACGGCTTCGTCCGAGAACATTAATTCAATAGTAAGTAATATGCACTATACAATAATTTAACATTGTAGTAAAAATTATAATGATACATTTACACAGCAAATAATTAATACAATTGTTAATTTATAAACTATCAGAGATAAAAAAAATTTATATAGCTATAATCAAAATAATTCAATAATTGACCAATGAATTCAAGATGGCGACTGCCATGTTTCGCACATTGTCAACTTCTCGTGCTGTAATTCAACGATTGTTCGATCATGTTCGGGCTACTAACATTGGTGTGAATCATACTAGCTTAAATAAAATTGTTTATACAGTACTTCCTTGTTTTTATTAGCTATAATTCTTTTCTTGGAAAAGCCTCCTACCTAGGTCTCTAGGCTAGGCAGCTTAGACTAGTACTACCTAGGCCTACTACTACTAGTACTAGGCCTATGTTTTAGTGGGCCTGCGGCCTACTACTATCTAGGGGCCTAGGCCTAGGTAAGTTGAGTCAAAACTATAATAACATAGCTTTTCACATTCTTGCTTTAATTATAGGAAAGAGAACTCTGCTCTCAGAGGCATATTATGGAAATGAAGTTTGGCAAAAAAGGAAGAGGCTAGCTATGGACATGGGTAAGAAAGTCATAATAAGAAAAAGATATGGGATAGTGGACGTCATGTTACACTAGGTCTACTCTTAGGGCACATAGAAACAATAATTAGATTATCACTTTTTTTTTTTTTAAGTGATGAGGCATTTAAAAAAAAAAATAAATCAGAACAATAGTAGAGTATTGCTTTTTTTTTCACTGATGAGGGAGGGAGTTTTTTTAAATTGTATTTCCAGTCACAAAATTTCATTGTTTTTTTAAGCTGTTAAAATAAATGATACTTAAAGCAAAAAAATAGTTTTTTCCCGCATCAATATTTCCCAAATTTTTTTTTTCTATGTGCCCTTAGACTTAGTGTAGCTGGCTATATGATTCAAATAGTCTTCGCATTACTCTTCAATTAAAACTCTGAGGGGCAGATCCAGGATTTTAAAAAGGGGGTTTAAAGTGTCTAAAAAAAAGCAACCAAACCAAATCACCATCAAATTGAAAGGGTGGTCCGGGAAAATTTTGATTCTTAGATGGGCGGAAATGAGCTTTCCCGACTTCTGAGGTGTCTTTTAATGACCTTTATTTTTTTCCAAATTCAAGGTTTTCCCCTTTTGAAAAAGGTTAAACAATTTTATCTAATTCTTAGGCCTATACATACAAAAAAATAAATCAAAGACATAGGCAATATATTATTGTATTCCAACAATATTGAGTAGTTGGATTCGTAGTCTTTCTTGCATGGATGATGAACCAATAGGCCTGAAAAACGCACTTTCGTACGTAAATTATTTCGACGTCGAACCAGAAACAGTGTTTCTAATATTATTTAATTGTAGGCTAGTTGGGCTAAGGCTAGTTGGGCTAAGCCTAGTTTGTCCGATCTGCCAACACCTATCCTTGGTAAGCATGCATTTTGTAAGCCAGGACCCAGTAGTATTTTGTTACGTTTCTTCACGGGGAGAGGGGGGGTTTCGTCCGAACCCCCTGAACATGTCAAAGTCTGTAATTCAGTGGAAATGTGATTGTTTAGATCTGTTTCTCATTGAAAAATATATTATTTGATCTTTTATAACGGAAAATCAACACTTTATAAATTCTAATATTGAGATTTTTTTAACTAGACTGCAGCCTGTAGTATATTTATACAATTTATTTGCTACGTCCCTTTGTTTCAGTTGAGCTACAATTGAAATTAGATAGAGACTTTTTGGACTTTAAGAAGCCTGTTCCATCCATAGAACTTCATATAGTAAGTATTTAATCAATGTTATTTATAGATTTTATTTATTGCAAAACAATACCATTTATTATATTATCATTATTGAACAACAAAACAAAAATTGGCTGCTGCTAATGAGGTCTAGTTTTCTCAACATATATAATGAGTTAAAAGGCATGTTGGAAAAAGTAAAAAAAAAAACAAACAAGCAGAATAATGCAAGGAAAATATATTAATTGAAATCAGACCAAACAAAATTTGGCCATCATCGGGAGCTTTCACTTCACATACATAGTTAACATCAATCATAACCACTTGAACATGATTTAAGCACCAGTATACTCTGAATCTCTATTATTGTTTTAATGTGTTATATATTATAAGATACATAAATCTGAATATACTTGCTTATATTTTTTTTGTCTATTTTTTTAATGCTTTGTTTCTTATTTAAAAAAATATCTTTACTTTTATTTTCCTCTCCAGTTTGTTGATAATATCATGACAACAGCTCATCTGCAAACAGCAGAAGAATATTTATACAGGTGAGATGAAATATACAAACACATCCTCTGCATTGTCACATATATACTGGCCAGTAATGTGCTGTTCATCAACCTTGTATGAATATTTGTATTAAGGTTTGTGATTGGTCTGTTCACTTGGCAGACAACCCCTGTAGTCGCAGCCAGAGGCGAAATCAAAGGGCAGCATGCTCTTGCTATGTTTGTGTCTGTTCAATAGACTCAAGTCAACCAAGCCATGCTAATTTTTAATGATTTGATGATTGTTTTCGTTAATTGCAGCTTTACGATTGCAAGTTAAATGCAAAAAAAAAAAAAAAAAAAAGCAAAAAAAAAAAAAAAAAAAAAAAAAAATTGACGTGGTATAAATGAAATTTTATTTTGGCAGTCATCGTCACTCAAGTGTAGCTAGGCATTTACGTAAGGCAACAATTCATGCATGGTTCAGGGCATGCCTGCGCCTAAATGAGCCAGAGCGAGCCCTCAGGACACTTTCAGACAAGGTAAGAACTTGGTGGTTAACATCACTGGATTGGATTTCTTTGATCAGAAACACCCCAAGGATAACAGCTTGAAAAACTCATACAAAAGAACTCCACAGTTCAGCGCACACTTTATTCCTAAGCCACATAGTGTAAGTTCCTCCATGGTGTATACATGGAGGAACTGTTTATACAATGCTAATCATAGTTTATTCCTATTATGTGAGTACTGTAAATATTCAACGAAATGCTGTGATGTGAATAAAATTTTATAATTAAAGTAAATTAATGGTATTTTCTCCTTTGTAGACCAACTATGGATTGTTTCCTGATATGATAATGTTCAACATACTAATCGACACATTCTTAAAAAATGAGGACTATACAAGTAAGTCACTGAATAATATTTGGTTATTATTATTTTGATGTCAATGCTTAAATTGAATATTTAAAACTTTTTGCTTCATATTTGTTGCTGGCTTTTAAAAAATACACGACTCGTTTGTGTGTTTCTTACATTTAGCTAATGGTTGTTGGAATGAAACATCTTGAGCTGTTAAACCTCCAATTGGCTGAGATGTACTGTGCGTAGCTTCTAATAAATGATGCTGGCCCACTGAATATTAACAAAAACTGTGTTCAAGGTTTGGACTTTAAAAGGTACATTAAAAATCTGTTTTGTATTTGCAGATGCAGCAGTGGTTGCCATGGAGATGATGCATACAGAAGTACTAGATGAAACAACACCACTGGCTCAGCATCTTGCCTTGTATACCTGCCTGAAGTATCTCACAAGTGATACAGAAATTGAGGCGAGTTTAGAAAATATATACAGTCCTATTACACTTGGACTTCATCATCACCATTGGCCTTTACATCGAGTACGATGATTTAGGTTGACATCTGTCATGTGGTACCACCTTTAAGTCAGACTTTGGGAAGTTCCGGTGTCTCTGCTCCCTCCTCTTGTTACAGCGGGTGATGTATTCGGCATTAGAATGCGTGCGTCCGTTGTAAAGGAGGTTGCGCCAAGTAGAGTGGTTTAGCGTCAGTTCTTCCCAGGATGATAATGGAATGTCAAAGGAAGTTAGGTCGCGCTTTAGGACATCCTTGTAGCGTAGTTTTGGTCGACCTTGGGGACGGTTTCCACTTGCTCACCATATAAGATGTTCTTTGGAAGCCTGGCTACATCCTGTCTGCAGACATGCCCTGTCCATCTGAGGCGGCAAGCACTCAGGATGGTGTACATGTCAGTGTCACCCGTCATTTCCATTATTTTTGTATTAGGTATTTTCTTGTCCCAGGTTACTTTTAGTATTGTGCGAAGACATCGAAAGTGAAAGGAATTTAGTCGATGCTCAAGTTTACGATAGGTTGGCCAAGTCTCACTGCAGTATAGTAAAACACTCAGGACGCATGCGGTGTAAATCTTGACTTTTTAGAATATACTGTATCAAGTTTTCTATTGTTCCAAACTCTGGTACGCAGTTTACCGAAAGTAGTTGCAGCTTTTCCTATGCGATTACTTATTTCAGCATCTAAAGTGTTGTTGTCTGTAACAGTGGATCCAAGGTAGATAAATTTGTTGACAACTTTAAGCAGAGAATCATCAATAATGATGTTTGGTGCAGTCACACTTCCATTGGACAAAATCACAGTTTTTCCTAGGTTGATGGACAATCCAAAGTCATGAAATACACTAGAAAATGCGTTGCAGGATGACTGAAGTTCGGCTTCTGAGTGAGCAGTAATGGCAGCATCATCTGCGTAGAGTAACTCATTTACTTTAAAGCTGCTAGTCTTGGTGCGGGCATGCAAGCAGGAAAGGTTAAATAGGTTTCCAGAAAAACGTGTATTGAGAGTAATTCCAGTTTCCACAGGATAAGCACGTTGGAGTTACAGACAAGTCTGCTGCCCTTGTTCTTATAGAGTGTAATGATGTTGGCATCTTTAAGATTGTTGGGGACACATCTCTTCCCCCAACAGAGTGCAATTACTTTGTGGAGTTCTTCTGCAATTACGTCTCCGCCAGCCTTGAATATTTCAGGAGGAAGACTTGGAAGACTCGGAGCCAGGTGACTTGTTGATTTTGAGATAACTTATAGCTTCCTTAACTTCATCAAGGGAGATGGTCCTATCTAGATCATCTAATGTAAATAATATGATTCAATTATAATAATACACTTAAAGGTGGAAACTATTGGAGCCCAGCATATGTGGAGTATCTGCATACATGGACACATAGATTCAATTCTGGATGTTTGTTGTGAAAAATTTTTGAGCATCTAATTGTGAAATAAGCACCGTGAGCATACTCTTTAATTGAGGCAGATTGTGCCCTATATATGTTATATTATTACATTTTTCCTACTACGTAATTTTTAAAACTTGGTATATTTTTGTCTTCTCTTCTCTTTCCTTTCCTCTTCCGTAATCTGTTTAGGCTTTGTCCCCTCCCTCGTTTATTTTAAGAACGGGATCTTAGGGAGTTTTCTTTGTTTTCCTTTTATCCATTTTTGTACTGTGTTCTAATTGTTGTTTTGAATAAAAGTGATTTTAAATAAATAATAATATGCTGATTTTCAAGAAAGACATCACTATGAATTCTTAAATTGTAAGCTAATACACACAATACTGTAATATTTTTCTATAGGATGACAAATTACAAAACTTGGGATGGACCTTAGCAGATGCCACTCGAGATCAAACTAGTCTTCTTGCCAGAAGTTACCATGTGATTGGATACAGTATGATAAGTGATAAATTAAACTCAAGTGTCCGAGCGCTCGAGAGGATTGCTGATCTTGCAGAGAATGAATGCATTCTACAGGAAGCAGTAAGTTGTCCTCAATGTGACACATACAGGACAGGCATTATGGTTTAAATTATGTGATATTCACATTCCTGAAGCCTGAGAGATGGTAATGCAATGTAATGTACTTGGATTTATATAGCGCTTTATGCCAAAGTCTCAAAGCGCTCAAGGTGTGGACTAGCTCGTACAATAACTTGCCTCTCCCTAAAGGTCTCTTCGTGTCTGAGCTACCTGGTAAACCGATACCAGCTTATCTCTCATCTGTCCACAACAGGGGCTGCATGAACCAGTACATCGGGGTAACCCCCTACTCGTCTTGAAAGATGTACTGGGTTCTTTAAAGTGCACTTGAGCCAAATTGTGTACACTGGGCCTATGGTTTATAGTCCTTATCCCACCACCAGAACCAAGACTGTCGTTTGAACCAGCGCCGATTTAATGACTGTACGCTGTGGCGCTCCTGCATTAACCACTCGGCCATTCGACTCGCCATATATAGATACATAGACAGCATGCTTCCTGTGTCCAGGAATGCTGTCATCTGTTTTTAATATTTTAAATATTTACTTTGTAGATCTCCAAGTTAGAGAGTGCAATAGAAAATTCTGAAGACCGAGAGAAACTACAGGATCAATTCCAGGCAAGTAGACATTTAGTGTTCGATTATTAATAATTTTTAACTACATAGCTGGCGAATGTTCTCTTTTTTTTCAACCATTATTTCACTAGGGTAGCCCTAACCACAGCAATGCTAACTTAAATGAGTGCAGTATCATAATTATTATTTCAATATCATATATTTGTTTTATGTGCCTTCCTGTATATGTGGCAAAGACAAGCCACACCAGTCACTCCTCACGTAAATCAATTTTAGTTGTTAAACAGTAAAATGTGAGCTATAAAAGGATAAAAGAATCATTTAAATCTAACATTTTGTTATGAAGTTACCGGAGTTTAAAACTGCAGCTGTTAAAAGAACAGTAACTGAGAAATCAGCTTTTAAAATCCGATTTTGGGCATTCCTCAGGCGGAAACCATCACCAAATGGTTAATAAATGTTGTTTTAATGTTGAAAATGGGGAAAATAAAAACATAACATGATGTATAGATATATACTTTAAAAGTTAGTTTAGTGTAAGAAGTGACAGGTTTGGCTTGTCTTTGTCATATATGTTCTGTATTCTGAAGTATAATAAACATTCATTATTTTTTGGTATTGGAATGTAAACTATGAATTATATTGAATATCAATCTTTGTAAACATTTTCTTTATTTATATTTACTAGAATGCAGTTAAAAAACTCCGAGAAAACAATTCAATAGTTGATAAACCAGTTGATGATCTTATCCAAAGTTTAGTTGAAAAGCTTACAAGTTTAGAAGCAGATGACATAGAACAATATCCTACAATGCTTTTGGACTGGCACCAGTCCAACGTACATGCTGTACAGAGGCAGCGTGATGCCAAAGAAGCCTATGTACGTTCACTGAAGGAAGCCAAGCTTGAGAAACTCCTGCAGGCCACAGGAGGGGTCCAGTATTGGCTCGATAAACGTGAGCAAGAGGCGAAAGGAATTCAAGAGGAGAAAGAGTCATTTGAAGATGTGGAATTTATTGATAAAGAAGAGCTCGCTAAAGAGGTTGAAATACGGTAGCTACGGATCTTGATAACAATGAAGAGATTATTGAATTGTAAATGTCAAAAATATCGAACTAGAATTCTGGTAATGTGATAATCATCCTGGGTTGCATTTGATCAATGGTACTCACCAATGTCATCAAGTTATTTGTTAAAATGCTCATATTTTTCTGAATAGAATTCCGAGATGATTACGAGCAGCTTATCAAAAATAAAATGTTGCAAAATGGCATCACAAGCAATTTACAGACTTTGTAAAAGTACATTGATAGTCATATTTATAAACAACATTTTTGAGATCTTTAATTATTTATCTAAAATTTTATGCTGTTTTATTGGCCGATATTAAATCACAATCTGCTAAATCATGAACTTAAGAAAAAAAAGCTGCCTTCATAAGAACAACTTTTGTTACAAATATGTTTGGCATACTCACACTGACATTGCAGAGGTAATTTTATTACATCTTGGTAAATTAAAAAAAAAGTTCATTGGCATATAAGTGACATTGCCATCATGGTAATTTCCTGTAACTGTACTTGAATAAATAAACAATATTCAACAATATTTCACGAGGGGGCTCTCACAGCAAAGCTGACTGAAAGAGGCCAACATATACACGTTTCCAGAATTATTAAATGACCAATCAGAATGTGAACTTATATCCACGGTCAGGCTTGGAAAATGGTCCATTAAACTGCTTGATTCAAAAGTTGCATTAGTTCTGAAATTGTGTCATCTTCTTGAATGCTTGCTTCTTCAATTATTGCCTGAAAAAAAAGACGGTTATTGTTTAAGAAATACAATTCTGAAAAAAACTCTTCTACAAACAAGGTGCACCTCCCTCCTGATTTATGAAATATGTCAGCTAAGATTTGCGGTCAGACCTTAAGAAAACTAATTTGGAATATTTTTTTTATAAAACAGTATTACTTCTTTGAATTCAAGATAATACAGTAGTGTACAATAATGTAAATATATGTAAACCTTTTTGCATTCTTGGAAATGTAGGTTAAATATATAATAAAAAAAAACCTCCAGCTTTAGAGTAGCTTCTTACCTGTGCTGCATCTTTATTTCCCTTAGCAATTAACAGCTTGGTTAAATAAAAACGTGCAACCTTTGCCTCTACTGAAGCCTTGTTGTCTGTGCACTCCTTAGCTTGTTGGAAGCACCATTTGGCTTGCCTATTGGTGGGTAGACAGATCAATCAATCAATCAATCAAAATAAACAGTTTGTTGCAATTCACACATAATGTAAATTGAAAAAAAAAAGTTCAAAAAAGCAAACAAAAGGTATGAAATGTTTACAATATAATGTTCTATTAAGATGATAAAACTATTAGGTATGCCACTTTAATATAAAATAATTATGAGGATGGCCTTTCTACCTTGGTTCACCAGTGTGATAATGCAGGCATCCCTGTATCAGCCAGGCCACAGAACACTTCTCATCAATCTTCAGAGCCTCTGAAGTGGCCTCCAACAGTAGGCTAACCCAGTGCTCTCTAGCATCACTTCCCTGAAGAGCATTATGTAGGGCTAGAACTGCTAGCCTCACTAAGGGTACTGCTTTGTCGACAGTGGCACATATCAGAGCCTGGCTGTAGCAGCCTTCAGCTGCATCCATAATGCACTGTTCCTCATAAAGCTGGGCTAGAATCTACACAAATGAATTTGATTAATATTGCACAACCTATCATGTTACCTTTATACAACCTTTTATTCATTACCAATATATGACAAATGGTGAGAGGATGGGAAGATTTGGATTTTTTAAATTGTGGAGCACAGACAACCCTGTAGGTTTCGATTGGATTTTTGGTGTGTAACAAAATAAATCCAACGACCTTTTGTTGGGTCCATTTGGTGATGAGTTAAATAGCTTATGTAACTCATCTAACAGATCGTGCGCTATTGTAAACTTGCATTTTTGGTCCTCTGCCTTGGTGCTGCTGAGGACATGAAGTGACCATTGGGGGGGGGGTGTGGAAGAAAGTTATTGAAAAGTGCAACATCTAGTTCACTGCGCCATGAGCAAGGATTTTTGGAATGGTGCTATATAAATAGAACGATTTGATTTGATGAACAGCAGGAATTGAATCAGGTCTGAACCCCCTTCACAGTCCAGCGAGCATACAAGGTGGTAACCACCAGTTGAGCCAACTGAGCTAAGCTTCTCGTACTATAATAGTGAATTTTGATAATGTTATTGGATTCAATTACTTAAATTGTCACAAGCGCCAGAAATAGACACCAAATGATCTTTTCGGTGCATTCAATTTGGTAAATAAAGTAGCACACTAACAGACTGCATGCCTGTAGATAAAGGAAATGATATTTATGGTCAGACCATATTACCTGCCACACCAAAGCTTTATTAGCATCACCCAGGACACATTTTTTGAGTATTTCAACATCTGTTTCTGAGATATCTTGCTTAGGTTTGGTGATCAGTACTGCCTGAACTTCCAAGCGATTGAATATGCTTGAAACCACTGGGTCAGATGTCATGGCCTCCTGTGCCTGGAGAAAATGAAAGAAATTAAATGCCCATTATACGGCCATGTGGATAAAAGAATGCTTCACCAGTGTTCTATGAGGTGCATTACCCATGACTGGCACTGTAAAAACTACAAGGAGCAATTCAATATTGGATTACAATTTTTGCAATGGACAAGTCCAAAATTTACTTACATTCTGACAAAATGTACGTGCTTCCTGATAGTGGCCATCTTGGATAAAGGCAGAGGCCAAGTGAAGCGCACTCCACTGCTGCAGTGTGACATCACAGTCTGACTCGGCTGAAATGATAAGTAGTTTCTGAGTAACAACGATAATAAAGACTTGTTGGAGAATGTTCATAAATAAATACTTCAAGAGAAGTGCTAGATGTGGTGTACTGTTTTTAGTTTAATATCATAAAATGGTATGCTAAGGTGATATATATTTTGTGAGGTTTAGTGTATCTGGTTTCATAAAAACAATACCAATAAATTTGATAACAATATGTGTGTTTTTAGTATAGTTGAGAAAAGTATAATAGAAATTGAACCAGCAACACCAGCAAGTTTTGTTTCAATGCTATGCAAACTGAGCTAAACAGCAGTACTTGAAATGACTGTCCCCAGCACAGTACTTTTACATTATCAAGGGCTTTGATGTCATGGAATATTGAGGATAGCCCCCATGTCTCAACACCAGAACACCAGCGATAGTGGTGCAATATCTTACCACATTGCAGAATGAACTGTGCCAACCTAGATGTAAGACCGTCTGTATTGCCACCATGAAGGATTGCCTCAGCTAGCTGACTTGCTGAGAGTACAGTCCATGCTGCTGTATTTTCTTCAAAGATAAGAGGATGTGGTAGAATAATTACAACAATAACAACAAGAATAATAAAAACACCCACAACAATTATACAACTATATAAGTCCACAACACACAGTAAACCACAAAGTATTGTTAAATTAGCTTGCTTCACATATTTAGACTTGTAGGTACTATCTGCATTATATAATAATCATCGTCTTCACCACCATCATATGTACCAACATAGCATCCTGAAGATCATCCATCTAATTCGCACTATCCTAATCTTACTCCATTATGCCTTCTATGTCATTTAATTATTCTCCTCCCCTTCATAATTTTAGGCTTACCTGGATAAAGATGAACACTCTTCTGTGCCGATATCAAACAGCTTCTGTCCAGCTTCTTCACATGCTGCCCACTAAACAACATAGCTGTAGCCATATGTATAGACAAGTCCTGTATGAAAAGATATTTTTCAATTAGACCAAAAACAAAAAATCGATTTGTGTTGCCCAAGCATGAAATACTTGTATGATGCTTGGAAATGGCAATGTTAAAGCTTTAATTAATTTGATACATTAACCAGGGCTTTTAGCCCAGTGGCTACAATTTAACAGTTAAAATGTGCATAGGGTGAGCCATTAACCCTATGAAATATGCCTATGCAAGATATTAAAAACATTTCTGACAAATCGACCCTGATATCAAACTATCTCTGCACTTGCCAACAGAACATTTTTGGCCTTATGTAGTACTAGATTGGAACATTTTGAGTTTTAGTGATGAATGATGACGATCATTATCATTATAATGAAGAGTACCTTTGAGGAATCAAATCCTTGATTTGAAGCAATCTTGCTACATCTTGCAGCTGCCTGTAAAACAAAAACATTTGGCTTAGTTTTTCTATGTCTAATAACAATATGTAAAAATAAATTCTATGAAGATCACAGTGATTTTGGTAAGAAGATCTCAGGAAGTCCTTGCAACATTTTAGCAAATGCCTTGTGCAACGTAACGCCCTGCGTGAGTTAACCTTCGTCCACACTATCAAATTTTGTGGCAAAAAAGTGTGATGTGCCCATACATGGGCATGATGATGTCATATTACACCCAAATATGGGCTTATCAAATTTTTTTGTTATTTGAATTTGATAGTGTGAACAGAGCTCTCGATGTAAGTCTGCAGAGCCCCACATAATTTATTCCATCCTGTGTTAAGTTGCAAGCTTTTGGATTAGAATAAAATATGAGAAAGCACCTCGCAATCAATGTAAAGAAAATATTTGTAAGGTTTCTTCCTTGAGCTTACCTTGGATTTATCAGGAGAGAGTTGAAGCAGAAAATGAGATAATTTATTCCAAAGTTTAGCATTTGATGGATGCCTATACAAAAAAAATAAAGGATGTGTATAGTGAAACTAATAAAACAAGAACTTATTTATCTACTTTGTATATATATTAACAATCATATAGGCCTAGTTCAGACTAGGTGGATAAACCCGGCACAACTCACCGGGTTTATCCACCTGCCAGTCTGAATTAGGTGGCTTATCTCAAGCCGGGCTGTGTTCCTATAGTAACAAGGCCTGGCGTGCCACCATGTTTAACTTTTTTAAGCCGGACTTTAATCATTGCGGGGGTCTGGCATTGACTTCCGGGTAACAAAATGAACAATCAGCATTCAATTACGAACACTGAGCGAGCGTACGTACGTTTCGCGAGCTATGTTTTGTAACACGTTTCCTGGTTACGGTTCATTATTATGCAAATTCTCGCGCCTGGCTAATCTCACTAGTCTGAACGCCCACAAAGTTAAGCCGGGCTTAACGTTCAGCAACTCAAGCCTGGCTTATCTCCAAGTCTGAACGTAGCCTTAAGCTACATGTACACTATATTCTTATTGTATATATGTACAAAAAAAAAACTGACACTCACATTTATAGCACAACAAAACTATATGTATATATCTGTATGTATTCCTTAAAAGTATGTTTCAATTAAATTTCAATTAAATTTCTTTTTCTAATTTTAATTTTTAGTTAAGTCAGATGGCACCACAGTGTGGCAGCTGCAGGTCACTGGGGGCCCAGGTCAAATCTCTAATTTCAAAATGAAAACTAAAGAATCATTATATTCTTATTATTCTATTTGATAATGAATGGAAGAATACTTGATATTAAATATAGTATGGAAAACATCCATCAGTGATTTTTCTATCTGACAATGTAATCGTAGGCTACAATACCATCAGAAAAAAAGTGTTTTAATAAAAACAATCCAACACTTAAAATGTTAGTTGGCAAAGCATCTGAAATGGTGATCAGAGGGTTTGGGTTCGAATCCAAATGGGAACAATACTACATTGTATAATGGTGTTTTACCTGTGAACTGCTTTTGATATTTGCTGGTAAGCCAATTTTCCTTGACCCTTGTTAAAAACAATAAGAAAAATTATTTAAAAAAAAAAAATGCTCCATACCTCAATACAATCATGAATACATATTGCATACCCATACAGTGTTACTCTGTTTGCTTTGGACTTTTATGCTCATAATGAAATCAGTCTAGTAATAATATGGTCATGATATGCTCAACTCAACTATCTAGTTTTATAGCGGGTGAAAAAGCAAAATACTGCCCAATGGACCATTCCGTTATTGCCCCACACACTTTGGATATTCTTGCAAAGGTCCCACAAAATGATAGTAAGCGTACGTAAACATGTACATTTGTGGGACAAGAGATGTGTTTGAGTGACAATCAAATATTCCTGTTCTGATTGGTAAAAAGTTTGATTGACAATTATTCAGAATTTCCCATCGTTTGTTACCTGCAATGCAGACACACAAGCAGCCATGAAACATACATCCTCCACCATCTTAGGATCATTGGCAAACTTCAACAGCTCTGTGAGGGCAGCAGATGCTAATTCGACATCCTTGTGAGTTATTGCAAGCGCACACAAAGCCAGAAGACCATCCACTGATGGTGGAGAGAGTTGAGAACACTGAAACAGAACAGTCTTTGCCTGTTCTGGACTTTGTGTTACCATTCCCATAGCACACAACACATGGCCTTTGTCTTCTACGTTATCAGTTAATTGAAGTGCTTGTTCATAAGCTGGGAAAAATAAAAATTTACAAAATATTTAAATAGATTTTTAGTTTATTATTCCCATAATTCCTCGATACAAGAGAATTTAAGGAAGGGGTAATATTAATCAGGGGTCCCAAATTTTGAAAGCCTAATTTCCGGAGAATATGTCACGCAGGACAGACAGAGGTTTGCGATGTCTTTACTAGCTAGGACGCATTGTACAAGGACACATGTGTACAAACTTACCGCCATGTTCAATATAAAAACAAAGACACTTGGGCAGGTTTAAGTAACTGTTAACAACTTATTGCTGCCTACAATGTTCAATAAATCTTATGTCTGCCATATTTAATGCACAATAATAGCAAAATTTAGCTTAGCATAATCATTAACTTTGTGAAAATCTGTTAAAATCCTAGAAAAATATACAAGAGAAATTCAAATTCCGGGTGAAAATATTGATTCCTGGAGATGATTTGGCAAGCCAGGAGGCCTGGGAGCTAAATAACTATGAAAATATTAAAATAGCCAGGCAGTCCTTTTTCATACCCATTAAAAAATATGATATAACAGTTAAAAATTTTGCCAAAATTAGAGGATGAGTTGAAAAAATACAGGTATGAATTATCTGAGATGGGTACCATCCAATATATATTGAATGTAATGGGTTAAACAGCTGATTAAATATGGGTATGGAATTGCTGAATAGGGTTAAGGTTAGGATTTGGTTTTTGTAGGCCTTTGTGTTGACTATAGTATTAAAATGTGTTATTACCTTGGTAGCTCTCATCATATCTTCCTGCTTTGTAGAGGGCTAGGGCTAGGCCACACACATCCTCAAACACTATCAATGGTAAAATCATCCGATACTCCAATAATGATTCATTATATTGCTTATTCATGCTGGATGATAAAAGAATATAGAATTACTAGTATGCAACCCACTGCAGTGACAGCAATAGAGTGGAATTCTAATCCTAAGATAATGGTGATCAAATTCAATGCTGACCACTATTGCTTGTGCCTTTAGGAAAATCTCTATTTATCACTCTTTACCCAAGTAGGCACCCAGTGGGATGGCAAAATGTTGTATTGTTTAATTATTTGGTCTGAATTGAACAGTGTTAAACGGGCCTATTTCTTTGGAGTGGAGGATATATATTCTGATGCACTTTAATGTTCAATATATCTTGTTTATTTATAGTGTAATGCTACATGCCTGAATAACAGGGAATGTACTACCTAAAGAATGCACCTAATCATCTATTATACATAGTCACTGGGATGGATAGTGTGGAAGTAGGATAAATTTGCTAACATTGATGTATCCAACATAACAAAATTCACCTTAAAAATAAATGTTCTTACCACAAAGATCGTGCATAATTAGCTCTTGCTTTGTTCAGCAAGTCACTTGAGTCGTTGTCACTGAGTAAATCAATTGATCTGTAATAATTAAGTATCATTAATGTATCAACATTAGATTCTGTCAATGCCACAGATTTTACAGATTTAGTGAAACTTTTCTCCTAGTTGTTTATGGTTGCTCGTAGCTTAGTATTTTCTTTGCCAGACAGAAACATGTACCAGCCAGAGAACACAGCATCAGTGGTGGTTATCAAATAACATTGCTTTTCAGTTGACACATTAAGTCAATTAAATTACCAATGGGTGACATACCTTTTGAAGGCCTTCATCGATTGCTGGTGTAGGCCCTGTCTCTCCATCAATAACCCAAGCATGTTGTATGAGCAAGCATTGTCACGAACACGGTCTAAAATCAAAACAAAGTTAATATTAAAGACTGATAATTTACTTATGTAGAGTATTATAGAAAGAACATTATGGTTTTGTCTTTAAGAGGTTTAGGATTAAAGTACATCATAAAGAAATATCTCTTCTTTTCTGAAAGAAGAACAAGGACATTTAGTCACCAGGGCAAATATATAAACATCTCTTTAAGAAATGGTTAGCTTTACATGTATACCAACACTCAAAACACATGAACAGAATCTGTGTCTGATGAAAATGAATCAGTAAGGATCTCCATGCTTTAGTGCATAAACAGTGGCTGAAAACCACTGACATAAGAAATTCCCTGGATGATGTAATTGTAAGTTATTATACACTGACCTGTGAACTTTGACACTGCCAATGATGAAGTTGACACTGCATTCATCTGTTCAATGCTATACTTGTAGTGTTCAGAGGTCACATCAACATCACCATCTAACAGAGTCTTGCAAACCCAATGACCATACCCAATTGTGCCCTCAATCTATAAGTATAAAAGAATACATGGTCATTATATCATCACATTAAATATGGGTAACTTAAGTAAAAACATAAGTTTAAATTTTAAACTTATGTTTTTTACTTGTGTTACCCATCCCAGACATGTGACACGAGTCTGCAAGAGTGTTCAATTATGTATGACCCCAGCTCACAGGATTAGGAAGCTTTCGATTGTATGATGATGGCAGGACCTAGAACGTAGTGACGTCGCTAAGAAGTTCTCATTTTCTGAATTCTAAGATGCAGTTTAGCTCGAATCTACGTTGATCATGCAAGAACGGTCAAGGATGAGAGAAGCTTCCTAATGTCTACTTTTGACCCACAGGCTCTGTTCACAAATACAGGTGACACAAGCTCACAGATTCCCAGCTCACATGTATGCTAATTATACTCAGATCAAGTGTTATGTTCACTTTACAAGCAGGTCATTTGTATGCTCACAAGTAGCCTACTGGAGTGTTTACCCATGTGTTGATCCCAGCTCACAGGTAACATCACTTACATCTCCCATGATCCCTTGAGCATTTAGGTACACATGACCATATCTTACATGTATGTTTACAAATACGTCCATGAATCACTAGTACAGTACATGTGAACCCAGCTGGCAGATGTGCTCAGTTTAAATGTGACCACCCGCTTCCATTTGTTTACTTACATGTGATCCCAGTTCACAGGTGTGTCGAAACAAGTCCATGGTCTCATGATCCTGAATGCTCTCAGCTATGTGAGCCTGTGGGTGGAGCATTAACTAATTATTCTCAGAAATAATTGATAAGAGTAAAAACATTCCACCTAATGGTCTGTAATGCTAATACTATTTGTTTTGTTGATGCAAACATACATAATCTATAGTCATGAAGTGAACATGACTCATTATATAACCATTATTAAAGACAAAGATAACAACTCCTGCTTGCTATATAAAAGAAGCATACAAAATTAAAAAATATGAGCAAATGGTTGGACTTTCTTCCGAAGAGAAATACAGTAGTGCAGAAACAAAGTATGATATCAAATCAATTAAAATTATTTTGAAATTACAAATCCATAGCATTAAATACAATAAAGAACAAATTTCATGAAAAGGAAGAAATATGAGTAACAAAAAAAAAAAAAAAAAAAAAAAATTCAGGGTATGCACATCACTTCTTCAAAAAAAAAAAAAAAAAAAAAAAAAAAAAAAAAAAAAAAAAAAAAAAAAAAAAAAATTCAGGGTATGCACATCACTTCTTCAGGTCCAAATGACCTACATATTCCACCCTAACCAAACTATGCATTACTGAGTTAGGGGCGTCATTCCAATAAGGTCCTAATGACTTGCATACCCCACCCTAAACTAACTATGCATTACCAGGGTAATAATGATTTCTTTACCCAACAGGATTATTTACCTGGCCAATCCAGCACTGTACGTAGTCTGGGTTGATAGACTGTGATTTCTTAAATGCTTGATGTGCCATTTTAATGTCATCATGTTTAAGATAAAGTGCTCCAAGGTTGGTCCAGGCTACAACGTCCTAAAAAGAAAACATCAAATGTATTATCTATCCATTACAATCACTGTTCTACTTTTTATAATTATGCAGCTATATTTAATATAGCACTTCACACTGAAGTCTTGAAGTGTTCAAAACATTGACTAGCACGAATAGTAAATTTGTTCTCCTCTAAGGGTTACTTTGTGTCTGAGCTACTGGTGCCAGCTACTCTAACCTGTTCACAACAAAGGCTGACAGCATATACGAAAAAACATTTTACCTACAAAATTTTTAAATCTTTCTTTTTATTGTTACTGTTGTCTTCTTGCATGATATACAGTATTGAGGCCATCGATCTAGGTCTGCTATATATTATAAAGGCGGCGAATTAAAAGCAACATAACAATTCTTATTACATGAAGTTACATTAAAATTACATTTAATCAAAAGTTATACATAAGCAAGGACATGTAGAATATTTTGAATGACATGGCAACTTTACATCAGTTGTGGCGAGTCTCTTTTTAAAAACTCACATTTTCTTCAATTTGAATGGCTTTGATGAGGGCATGTTGAGCAAGTTTTGGTAAATCAATTTCTGTAAATAAAAATGGAACACAATTTATCTCAAATTTTATTATCAAATTATTATATATTATGCTAAACATAACCATCATCATCGACAATGATATCATCATCATCATCACCATAATCATCGACATTGACATCATCATCGTAGACATTACCATTAACATTGACAACATCATTATCATTGCCATAACCATCATCGCTGTCTCTATCACCACTACCACTTCTTCCAATGTCTCCCCACCATCATCATCAATCAATATTATTACCTTTGGCTGAACACGCTGTCCCCAGGGCATTCCAATGGGAATTGTTAGAGCTGTCCAATGATACAGCCTTTTTTAAACACTGAAAACAACAACACACATAACAACAATGAAATTTTCTTAGTCACAGTAAGTAAACCGAAAGTAGGAACTTCCGAGGAAAGTTGAGATATTTAACACATGTTTTATGTACAACTTGACATCGAATTGTACTGTGTATATGAACACTAAATAAATCTAGTCTCAAAAGCCTGGTTTTCATAAAATCGCTACACTGTCGCTACAGAATTTTCAGTGTAGTAGCAGCCCCTGACACAATCACGAAGGCTTTTCGATTCGTCCAACCAATTAGCATCACCGAAAACTGTTGACGATAGCGTGTAGCGATTGTATGGAAACTAAGCTTAACAGTTACTTGTGCTATACTTACTGTTAAATTACTGAAATTGAGATCATGATTATTACTTTTAAATTTTAGTAAAAACTAAATTCTTGCCGAGCCACAGGGCTAATAGGGCTGGAGCTTATACCTAGTTTAAAGTAGCGTGAATCAGCTTAGAGTCTGATACACCCTCTGAGTGGAAAGCTGGTCCACTGCAGGTTACTCCAAGCAATTTGCTGGTGGTACCCATTGATACAGCTGGGTAGACACTGAAGCAATGTACATAAAGTGCTTTGCTCAAGGACAAAACTACAACACACAGCAAAGAATTGAAACTGAAACTATTGGCTTGAATGTAATTAGTACAACCAAAACCATTTCATAGCCATTAGGCTTTGACTACCCTTCTCTTCACTCATGGAAGTACAACAAACCTGTACAGCCTTGTTCCCTAATGCAGTTGCTTCGTCTGTGTTACACTGAGCCTGCCTGAGGTAGTTGCTTCCAAGATCATGCCAGAGGCTAGCACAGTCCGGCAGCAACTGTAGGGCCTTTCCATAGCATCTGAAAAATTATAAGAGTATTAAAATTTTAAAACAATAAATTTATCAGTTAAACAATTTAACAAGATTGATGTTGATTTTCAAAACCTTATGGACATTTTATTTTAATCTACTGTATATACCAAGAGGGAAAGGACATATGGTCTAAGAGAAGATTTCGGTGGGGTGTTCCCTTACCAATTGTCTACCCTTATCTAAATGATTTTAAACATTTTTTAGCTGCTAGGAGGCATGACGACCCTTTTGACACCCTGGAACTGTCTTGTTTAACATACCGTGCTCCTATGGCTAATAGTTCCTTCTTCCCAACATGCACCAGACTGTTGGATTCCGCAGTGCCATCTTTGAGCACAGCTGGGATGTGAACGCTGTAAAAAAATATCAGTAAAACTTTAGTAATCCTTGAAAAAGCATTGTTTCCCGGTGTAATGATCATGGTATGATGCACTGCAGCTGAATTTCGTTGTTGATTTTCAATAAGACTACACATTTACATTTCTAAATTTAGACTTTTTATTCCTGTTACAAACCAATTTTTTTTAAATGGATGGATGTCACAAGAATAATAT